ACATTCAGGTAACTTTTTGAAATTATTTTTTGATTATGAGTGTTGCTTATTTTACTTCCCCAAAACTCATTTTCAACAGACGGAGGCATCATTGCCGCCTTTGTGGACAAATATTCTGTGCGAAGTGCTGCAACATTCATGTGCCAGGATCCGCTTTAGGTACGTGATCCTGGTCAAAATGCGAGATTGCTGTTAAGACGTTCATATCGATACCCATGAAGGATTGCGAAGACCCTAGAACTCCCTATTTCTCAATTTAAAATCGTTAATCGACTGCGTCCGATTGATTTGAGGGACTTCAGGACTAGCACAGTCACACTTCCCGAAACATTCAGGGCTCACTTCAAAAGACTATGTATAAGAGTTTGGGATGGACTCGTGACTGAAACACCGCGAGAGGGGTTCGACCGTCACGAAGCGTTTATTCATTCCTGTAAGAAATATGGAATTGAAGTTGTGAAAATCCTTCATTACTTACCCACTTTGGTGCATTTTTGTTAAAATTATCCCTTCAACAATCGATTTCATGGAAGTTCATTGGAAGCTCATGTTGTTGCATTTTTAAGAGAGTTCACAAAGGCTGAAATTCCATACAACTGGTTTACAGAAGCTAATTGCTTCGAGCTGTCGTAATTGCAGTGAATAGGTATGGAGCGTAGACTTCTTCCCAAGATGAAAAATTGGGAGTTCTCGATCTCGGATTGTTTATTTTGCTCCGAAATTTATCCATTTCTCACCGAAGATTTTTTGTATCTACAACCGTTTCCTCTATTGGATTGCCTCTCAAATCACGTGTATCACAGGATATATTGGTGACTTGCGTCTGTGTCAATATTGCGCAAAAATGGTGGCGCAGTATCTTCCACCAGAGCAGGAACGTCGTCAGTCTAATGAGGACATTGATACTAGTACTGGAACAAATGCTGGATCTCCAACAGGTAATGGAGATTCTCTCAGTGTTGCGGGAGCGGCAATTTCCACAGTGTCATCAGGTAATTCTTTGTTTGAAGCTTCATTTCTTTTATACTTAGTGAAATTATTCATCATTAGTAAATTCATCATCATTAGTAAATTCTAAGCTTTGTCATAGCAGCTGCATCATCTCCTGAGATTTTCAAGTTTGTGAAGGTTTATGTTCTGCAGGCACTATGTTATGGACCCGACAATCTGGTATTGGCGCTACACCTTTGGAAACTAAGGAAGCCTCATTCGCTCAATCAATGCGAAAACCACCATCTCTGCTTTGTGTGAATGAACTATATCTTCAGCATGAAAATCGACCTGATACTGAGGTTGTTTTTGTGGTTAGAGTGCTCAAGATAGCTCCTGAATTTGAATAGGTTCGTTGCAGGATAATATAAGAGCTAACCTACAAGAAGAAGAAGACTCTGGCCCTGACTGGTTTCGCAACATGGATCCTGACACGCTTATCCCAATCAAGGATGATAATGTGAGTACCGTAGGAGTACGTACCCTCCTTTTCAAAAACGAGGATAGTGTCGGGTGCAGACCATACACCACAAGTGACGACGGCCTCCAAGTAAATCTGGTTAGTAGTGGTTCATAGTGATAGCTGATTTTTGGTAAATGATAGTTGTAATTAGTGACAACTGATAGATATACTGCAACAGAAATTAATCCATTCGCAGAATGATTTTTTATTTACCCGTTCCTCTAATTGCGTTGCCGGTCTCAGAATCGCGTGTTGAGCACAGGATATATTGTACGAGCTTGCGGGGTCTGGTGTCAGTCTAGGCGCAGGAATGGTGGCAGGCAGTAGTGCTTCACATCCAGAGCAGAACCGATTCGTCAATCTAATGAGAACATTGAATGCTAGTACTGGAACAAATGCTGGATCTCCAACAGGTAATGGAGATTCTCTCAGTGTTGCGGGAGCGGCAATTTCCACAGTGTCATCAGGTAATCCTTTGTTTGAAACTTCATTTCTCTTATACTTAGTGAAATTATTCATCATTATTGAATCCTAAGTTTTGTCATAGCAGCTGCATCATCTCCTGACATTTTCAAGTTCAAGTTAGGGAGGTCTATGTTCTGCAGGCACTATGTTATGGACCCGACAATCTGTATTGGCGCTACACCGTTTGGAAACTAAGGAAGCCTCATTCGCTCAATCAATGCGAAAACCACCATCTCTGCTTTGTGTGAATGAACTATATCTTCAGCATGAAAATCGACCTGATACTGAGGTTGTTTTTGTGGTTATGAGTGCTCAAGATAGCTCCTGAATTTGAATAGGTTCGTTGCAGGACAATATAAGAGCTAACCTACAAGAAGAAGAAGACTCGGGCCCTGACTGGTTTCGCAACATGGATCCTGACACGCTTATCCCGATCAAGGATGATAATGTGAGTACCGTAGGAGTACGTAACCCACCTTTTGCACAACGAGGAACGAGAAAGTTGAAGGCAAACGTCGTCTCAGTATGGGTATATAACGTGAGTATGGATGGCGATGAAGCGACAGTGAAGAAATCACGAAACAAGGAACCGTCGACGAAGCGCAGAAAACGAAACATTCGCTTCCCGTAAGCAGTGAAGGAGGCTTTCGTGAGAGGGATGCACGTCCAGGCGGATTTCCCGGAATGCCAGCCGTTCCATCGGTTGATAATCAACCACTAGCTGATTCACACGTTATGCCAGCCACGCACCACATCCCGCGGTGGGCGGGCCTAGCTGATGCAACGAAGCCATCGCTGTAAGTAGTAGGCCAGAGGCCTTGTCGCGCAATCTCGAGTCAGGAGCGTGGCGTCACCCCTCTGAGCGCAGTCCTGGCCATAGTAGTGATGGAAAGGCCTTCTATGATCGCCTAATCCTGACTCGTGGCTTTAAATATTAACCTTTCATGAAGGCTTCCAAAATAGGAAATTGTATTTCAGAAAGTACGAGAAAGCGAAGCGTGTACGACAGAAAACCATTTTGACCCTCTTTCGAATATCCGTTTGCGTGCACGTGGCGAGAAGTACAAACCGAGAACAAGCGCCTCATCTGTCAAGTGAGCGTTTCGAATTGGTTTTGTTTAATCAAATGCAAGCTTAACTGATTTGGAACTGATCGTTACTGTAGTCGCTCATGAACTTCACTGTTTTCTCGAACTTTCCCATCCATACCCTGCTTGACGATTGCTCAGTTGCAGAGCTTCATTATCACTTTCTCCGTCGAAGACCCAACTCGATGATGATATCGAACGAGCCTTTGATCTCAGGGCTGAACACTTATTGTCATATCTCTGCTCTCGAGAGCGATTGCGTGACCTCAGGTATGACTTAGGTGACTTATCTGACCCGCTTGTAAGGGCACAGGTGAGCGCAATGCTACTATCTTCACAAAAGTACGCTTATTTATTTTGCTGAAAATAATCACAAAAGCCTTCATACTAACTTCAAACTATCGAAATGTTCGCTCACGGCTTTGACGCAGTCCTTAACGCTTGGGATTCGAAATTGACGCTGTACTGCAAAGTACTTCATGTCTGAATCGGTTCTGCGTGCAACCACATTGTATTGGTCTTCTATGGGGTCATCACCTTGCATTTAGCTGTTGCTCTACGGAAACTATGGCATAGAGTTGGGTAGGAGATAAGTTCTTCACATGTTCCTGTGTTACACTGTTGGCTGCAGGTGCTGTATGATTCATCGCTGACGAAGTCGGCAGTGTGGAGTTCAAAACGGATAACTGGAGAGACTACATACCCATCCTGCTCCAAGTGGCTCACGGCCAGGTGGATGCTGTCGAAGAAATTGGAGTAGAAGTCCGGGATGCAGTGATTTCCTTCCACACGTCGGAAACAGACCA